TCCAAAGACATAACGGAAACTGTCAGGGACACAACACCCCTTCCCCCTTAGCTAGGGACATGGCAGACCAGACTGGGGACTGTGGTTGTCAGAAACACAACACCCCTTCCCCCTTAGCTAGGGACATGGCAGCCCAGACTGGGGACTGTGGTTAGGCAGGGACACAACAGAAGACCTCACTAGAAAGGGCTTTATTTTGCTCCTGGAGAAAATCAGAATAAAGAACTGGAAAAGCCTCCACAGGAAGAGGCTTTTTTGTTCTGCTCTGGAAGAAAATTAGAAGACACAGAGAAATCTTCACTAGAAGAAGCTGTCTGCTTTTGCTCCAGAGGAAACCCCAATCAAAGACCTGGGAAAGCAGAAAGAGGGTAAATGACCACCACCTGCACTTTTCAATGGTTCAGCACAGTGATTCTCTTCCAGATTAGACCTGTGACTTTTTTCCAAGAAAGGAAGAAGAAAGGGGGAAGGGGAGAAGAGACAATTCTTACTCATCCTTCCAGCAAAACAAACCGAAGATCCAGCAAGTTGAGGAAGTACTGACAAAACCATTCAAAAGAGAGAAGGAGGGGTAAGGGGAGAGGCACAGAGAGACTCGTCAGCAGTCTTGGTGCAAATGAGAGAGGGGTTCCCTTGGAGACCCAGCATTTAAGGTGTCATTCCCACACACACACACCCCTTGTTTCCCTCCAACAAGGCTTTGGGAAAGCACTTGGTTGCAAGTTGGGCTGCTGCGTTTGTCTTGCAAACATGAACAGGAAGGGAATGCAAGCCCAGTTGCAATGCTGGGAGAAGGAGAGGAGGAAGGAAGAAGAGGTAGCAGGAGAAACAGGAAGCAGGATGAGGATGAGGCAGAAGCAAGCATAGCAGAAGGAGGAGGAGGAGGAAAGACCTGGAACTCAGTTGTTGCAAGCCAAATGCAAGCCCAGCTGCCGGAGAACCTTTGCAATTTGCATGTATCAGCCTTACTGTTTGAGGGCAGAAACAAACTGAATGAAGCTCTTACGTGCCAGCTGATGGGAGGGAGAGCAGGCAGCCCTTGAGTGAGAGAGGCAAACCAATCACCTAATTGAACAGCTCGTTCTCTGCCCTAATCACCAGCTGGGTGGATGTGACCAGGAATGTGTAACAGGCAGTACTCCTCCTGCACTCCCCAAAGCAAAAAGGGGCTGTTTTTAGAACAACAAGCCTCCCTGAAGCCTCAGGAGACCCAAAACGGCATTCTGGGGGAGGGCACAGGGGGACCCCCATCCCCCCTGCCAGCATGCCCTCCCCCCCACACCATTTTGGGTCTCCTGAGGCTCCAGGGAGGCTTGCTATGCTAAAAAGG